GAGTTAGCAGACTAAGTCTTCATGATTCTAAATATTTCTGTGGTGTTTCTAAACATATATTTGCTATAAAACTTAGCAGAAAAGGGGTTGGGGTTGTAGTAGAAGGCTTGCCTAGCATGTGTGAGGCCCTGGGTTCGATCCTCAGCACCACATAAAGTTAAATAAATTTTAAAAAGGTATTGTGTTCAGCTACAACTAAAAAATAAATACTAAAAAAAGTTTTAAAAAAAACTTAGCAGAATGAATGCAACTTTTTAATAGATTCATAATTAATTTCCTAAATATCCTCTGGAAGATAATCATCATTTATATACAAGAATGAATATATTGTCAAGATTTGCAGTTTATATAATAAAGTTTTGACAACTTTTTTTAATATTTATTTTTTAGTTATAGTTGGACACAATACCTTTATTTATTTATTTTTATGTGGTGCTGAGGATCGAACCCAGGCCCTCATATGTGCTAGGCAAGCGCTCTACTGCTGAGCCACAACCCCAGCCCCAAGTTTTGAAACTTTTTTAAAAAAATTGTATCATGATATATACAGTGAATATACAGTATCTTACCAGAATGTTTTTATGCCCTTATTTTACATTTGCAGTTATATTTTTAAGCCCCCTACAAACCATCAGATAGTAACTAATTTTTGTAAATATTCTGCCCATCAAGTCCAATACACAGAATTGGCATAAACAATTTTCAATTTTCCCCCAATTTTAAAACTAATGCATTTACTATTTTGTATGTATGGTACAAATAAGACAGAAGATCTCATTGGGAAGCACATGATTGCCCCATGCCAACCCAAAAAAATCCCCTGTTCAAAACCACTTATGAAAGAAAAATGTTATAAGAATGGATTTTGCATGTAAATAGTGTAAAGGAAAAATATTTTTTAAGGATATGCATGAGTTTAACATGAATTGGTGCTAAATTTTGTCAAAGGCTTTTTCTGCATCTATTGATCATATGATTTTTGTACTTAATTCTGTTTTGTGATGAAGTACATTTATTGTGTTATATATATTGAATCAATCTTGCATCCCTGGGATGGTCATGGTGTACAATCTTCTTAATGTATTTTTGAATGCAGTTATTGAAAGATTTTTGCATCTGTTTTCAACAGGGAAAAAAAATTGTTCTGTTTTCTTTCTTTGATGTGTCTTTATCTGGTTTTGGTATAAAGGTGATATGAGCTTCATAGAATGAGTTTGGGAATATTCTCTATTTCATGGAATAATTTAGGGAGAATTGGTATTAGTTCTTTATATAGAACTCAGCTGAAAAACCATCTGGCTTTGTGTTTTTTGGAAGGCTTTTTATTACTGCATCAATATATTGGTCTGTTTAGGTTTCTGTATTCTCTTGGTTCATTTTGGATAGATCATATGTGCCTAGAGATTTGTCAGTATCTTTTAGATTTTATAATTTATTGGAATATAAATTTTCAAAATAGTCTCTAATGATCCTCTGGAAATGTCTGTATTGTATTTCATTCCTAGTTTCATTGATATGGGTCTGCTTTCTTAATTTTTTGGTTGATTTGACCAAGAGTTTATCAATTTTACTTAAAAAAAAACAAGTCCTTGTTGTCTTGATCCTTTGTAGTGTTTTTTTTAATTCTCTATTTCATTATTTCAGCTCCATCTTAATTATATCATGTATTCTGATGGGTTTAGAATTAGTTTGTTCCCACTTTTCTAACATTAGATTGTTGATTTGAGATCTTTCTGTTTTGTTCCAGGACCTAGTGGTATATTCCATTGTTGGGAGAACTATTCTGTAGATATGTTAGGTCCATTTGATTTATAGTGTCATTTAGGTCAGAAATGTTTTTATTGGTTTTATATCTAGATGACCTGTCCTTTGTAAAGAGAAGAATGTTCAAATCACCAAGTATTTCTGAATTGGTGTCTTATCTGATACTTAAAATCAAGAGGTATTTGTTGCTGGATGCAGTGGGTGCGCACTATAATTCCAGTGGTTCAGGAGGCTAAGGCAGAAGGATCGAGAGTTCAAAGCCAGTCTCAGCAAAAGTGAGGTGCTGAGCAATTCAGTGAGACTCTGTCTCAAAATTAAAAATACAAATTAGGGTTGGGAATGTGGTTCAGTATTCAAGTGCCCCTGGGTTCAATCCCTGGTACCCTCCCCTTCGCCAAAAAAAAAAAAAAAAAAGGAGAGAGGTGTTTGTTTTATTCAATTAGGTACACTAACATTTGGGTCATAAATATTTACTATTGTTATATCTTCTTGTTGGATTCTTCCCTTCAACAGTATGTAGCATTCTTCCTTGTCTTCTCTAGTTAATCTTTGCTTAAAATCTGCTTTGTTAGATATGAGAGTGGCTATTCCTTTTGATTTCCACACACTTTGAATATAATATCTCTTTCCATCCTTTTACTTTCAATCTGTGGAGATCTTCGCCTACAAGATAGTCTCTTGAAAAAACAATATATGGTTGGGCCTTGTTTTTTAATCCATTCTGTCAGTCTTTGTCTTTTATTTCTGATCTCTACATAATTAGTCTGTAGGTGATGCTTTCAAGTGAATTTTTATTTAATTTATTGCATCTTACATTTCCAAGAGTTCTGACTGGTTTCTTTTTGGAATCTCTCCCTCTTTATTGAAATGGTCATAAGCTTCCTGTAACTGATTTCTTAATTTATTCCTTAATTTGTTTCTTAGGTCTTCTTTTAGCTCACTAATTATTTTAACATTCTGGGATTTAAAAAAAAATCATTGTAGATGGAAAAATACTTTTATTTTATTTATTTATTTTTATGTAGTGTTGCTGGGGATCTCTGAGGATTTGTCACTGATGTACAGAAATGCCTTTGATTTATGGGTGTTGATTTTATATCCTGCTACTTTATTGAATTCATTTATTAGTTCTAGAAGATTTCTGGTGGAATTTTTGGGGCCTTCTAGGTATAGAATCATATTATCGGCAAATAGTGATAATTTGAGTAGTTCTTTTCCGTCTGTATCGCTTTAATTTCTTTCATCTGTGTAATTGCTTGGGCTAGAGTTTACTGTGTTAAATAGAAGTGGTGAAAGAGGGCATCCCTGTCTTGTTCCAGTTTTTAGAGAGAATGCTTTCAACTTTTTTCCATTTAGAATTGATGTTGGCCTGGGGCTTAGCACAGGTAACTTTTACAATGTTGAGATATGTTCCTGTTATCCCTAGTTTTTCTAGTATTTTGAACATGAAGGGGTACTAACATACTCTCTTAAATAGTCCCTCTACTTTGGCTCTTCCCTTCTTAAGGCTATAATAATATTTTCCAGGCACAAATTTAATTGTTATTCTCTCCTTGAAACCATTTTGGAGCAGCTTTTTGTAGTGAAGACAGAAACAATGTTTTTTTTTTTTCTTTGACTTAGAATCCTATCTGTATCTACGACCTTTTTTCATTTTACTTCTACTCAATCTTAATATTCATTTTATTTCAGGAGTCCTTCTCTCAGTGAACACAGTGTCAAATATTCTCTTGATGTACAGCAAGCACCCTGTTCTTGTCCTTCACAGCATTGGATCACTATTGTACCCCTAATATATAGCACAGCACCTGGCACTTAGTAGCCCTCAAGGTATATTTGGTTTAATGAGGAAATGAATTAGTAATTATTCCTTGAGCTAAGTTTTAGGATCATCAAGCTTTTCAGTGAAATCAATGTTATTAATTTGGGAAAATGAGACATACTATGAAGAAATGGTATTTTATTTATATTTAAATTTTATCACTTTGTGTCTTAAACATTTCTTATTAAAGTTATCTGTATATTTTGTTATATATGGGATTTCTAGTTAGTTATGATTGCCATTTAGGAGTTTTTAATATTAGTTTTATCCTACTTAGAATTTTGCTATCAGAAAAGTAGTCTTATATCTGAAATTATTTAAAGCTAAAATATTTTTTCATAGTTTTTTTTTTTTAACCTCCATTAATCAAAAGCTATGCATGTGACCATAAGACTGGAGAAGGTTCTCTTTGTATTTAATCAAAGAAAATTTCTGAGTTCTTCAGGGAAGAGCCCGACCCTTGACCATTTAACATGTTGACTAAGTTACCTAGTTTGAGAATGTTTATGTTATGATTAGCATTACAGTTGTTCATATATCATTTTGTTGCTCATCCCTACTCTGTAAAATAGATATAGTTATTACATATTAATTAAAATATTGGGCCAAAGATTGAATGTTTTCTCTTATATATGAAGTTAGAAAGGAAAAGGAAATTTTAAAAAGAGATTTCAGGAAAATAGGAGGAGAACAGTAGAGTAGAGGAAAGGGGGGATGGGCAGGCAGGGAAGGGAAGAGGGGAAAGCAAGATACTGGGGTATTAAACTGACCAAATTATGTTGTGCATGTATGAATCTATCATAACAAATCCTACATGTATGTATATTATAATGTACTAATTTTAAAACAAAAATGAATAGGAGAGAGAACAGCTGAATAGAGGGAAAGGATCAGGGTAGGAGATGGGAAGAGAAAGGGGAGGTACTGGAGATTGAAATGGAGCACATTATATTATGTGCATGTGTGACTGTGTCACATTGAACCCCAATGTTATGTATAATTATAACACACTAATAAAAAATATTTTTAAAAATTGAGCTCCTGAACCAACCTTTACACCCAAGTCTTCATTCAAAGCTTATGCTGCTTTTCCCACATCATTTTGCCTTATGTTTTGTGTATATAGAAAGTATTTAGTTGGATTCAAAGTGAATTATAGGAGCTGGGGTTATGGCTCAGCGGTAGAGCACTTGCTTCGCACATTCAAGTCCCTGGGTTTGATCCTCAGCACCACATATGAATAAAATAAAGTTATTGTGTCCAACTACAACTACAAAAAATAAGTATTTTTTAAAAAGTGAATTATAGGGTGTAAACTTTTCTAGGATATCCCTTTTGCACATATTTATTTTTAATATTTATAATTCTGTGTATTAATTACTTAGAAAATCACTTTATATACTTTTTCTTGTAGGAACCTCCAGAAGTTTAGTCTTTTTGGAGACATAAGTGTTCTGCAGCAGCAAGGAAGTTTGTCAAATACATACCTCAGCAAGGCAGACCCTGATGGCAAAAAAATTAAACAGTAAGTTACGTATTGGACAGGGGTCTATACTAATATATTACTTTTATTCTAGTTTTTACTATAAAATTATAAAAAATAATCAGAATAGTAATGACTTTTTGTCTTCTGCAAAAACACAAATGTCTTAATGAAATACAGTGATCATATATGTGTCATTCTATGCCATAAATCTTTAAGATATCAAATAGCTTGCTGGATAATTATTGTGATTTAAAACTGTTTATTCTCTTCTTGTCTTATTGTATGTCTACCATTCTGTTGTGCAATGCTGTTTTCCTTAGATGAGGAACATAGGTTTACATGTTTAATACATTTGTATGTTTGATAGTTTATTCATTAGATGTTAATGTGAATTTTAGTGGTATTTATTGTGAGTTGAGTAGACATTAACTGATGAGGGAAAATATACTTCAACATTGCATGACATTTATTGCCTATTTTTAAAAATCATTATTAAAAGATTGTAGTTAGATCATTTTGGCATGTGTTTTCCTTATAGAATTCAGCAGCTGTTTGAAGAAATACTGAGTAATAGTAGGCAACTGAAATGGCTGTCCTGCGGGTTTATGCTGGAAATAGTAACTCCATCATCACTGTCATCTCTCTCTAACTCTATTGCCAACACCATGGAGCACCTGAGTTTACTGGACAACAATATTCCTGGTAACAGCACTCTTATCACTGCAGTTGAACTAGAACGATTTGTGAATCTGCGCTCACTTGCCCTGGATTTCTGTGACTTTACAGCTGAGATGGCAAGAGTCTTAACTGATAGCAATCATGTGCCTTTGCAGCGACTATCTCTCCTGGTCCACAATATTTCTGTGATGCACAAGTCTCTGGACAACATGCCGAATGATGACCATTGGAAAGCCCTGTCACGAAAGAGCACCAGTCTTCGGGTTTATATAATAGCTTTTGATATCAAAAGTGAAGATATGTTAAAGATTCTGAAACCCAGTATACCACTAGAGAGGATTCATTTTGACAGCTATATCACTTGTGTTTCAGGGGCCATTGTTGATCTTATATCCAGGCAGTATGACAAGTTCCTCACTCATTTTATATTGATGAATGATGTAATAGACACGTCTGGTTTTCCAGATCTTAGTGACAACCGAAATGAAGATCCATTGGTTTTATTAGCATGGAGGTGTACAAAGCTCTCTCTCCTGGCCATTCATGGTATGTGATTTTTTTCCCTATTAGTTTGATATTGGCATTACACTTAAAATGTTTTTTTACACTTAAAATATTTATGCCAGTAAAAAGGTGGCAATGGCCTTTAAAACGTCAGGAAATCTTGCAACAAATTGATATGCAGTCTTTTTTTAAATATATTTTTATTTGTAGATGGACACAATATCTTTATTTTATTTATTTATTTTAATGTGGTGCTGAGGATTGAACCCATTGTTTCATGCGTGCAAGGCAAGTGTTCTACCACTGAGCCACAATCCCAGTACCTGATATGCAGTCTTTATAAAGCTTTTTAAAGTTCATAAACTATATCACTTACAAACTGAAAGACATACCTCTATCCCAAACATTCTGCTTCAGCTTCCATGTTAATTTTTTTCTTCTACCACGTAGTATTTCACATGACATCTGAAATTAAATTTAGCTAAGAAAACATACACATCCCCCTGCAATAGATATATTTCCACTAATCACAAGATGCCTTAAAAGCATAATACACAGTATGATTTCTTTTATGTTCACTGCCTCATCTCTTAGATTCTAAGTATCAGTGTACTAGTTTGTATGATGTTTTTTCAAATGATGATCCTATTGGTTAGTTACATTTTTATTTCTTAGTGGGGCCATTCATCTAAATATGAACTATTCTCAAATTGCTGTTCTAACAATAAAAGAAAATTTTTACTTTCTTTTCTGATATAATACAATTGCAAAATAATCTATAAGAATGTCTTTTAAATTTTTTACTAGCTCTGTTTCATTAGTTTGTTTTTTGGGTTGTTTTGTTTTGTTTTGTTTGTGGTGCTGGATATTGAACCCAGGACCTTCCTTGTGCATGCAAAGCAAGCATTCTACCAACTGAGCTATATTCCCAGCCTGTTTCATTAGTTTTTAAACTATTTTTAACCTATACTTAATATGTGGCAATGGTTATATCTTGTTTTTCAAGTTTTGTTTTATAATTTGGCCAGTTATTAGAGGTAGCAAGAATAAATCAGTATTGAAAGTGGAAGGTAAAATGGAAATACAGAATGTGTAATTATTTAAAAATTAATTTAAGGCAATCTTTGTTAAGACATAAGATATTAGAGGAAAAACTCTCTATACCACCCATTCTCTTTCATCCCTCTTCAGAGAAGCCATTATTCTGAAGTTGATATGTATCATACCATGACTGTTTTATGCTTTTCATATTTGCTACTGATGATTAACAGTTTATCTTCAAACTTGAAAGTGTCACTTCATTTCTTTGGATTGTGAAGTACCACACAAGATGATTTTTCACAAATTAAAAATACTAGTTTGTATGTATTGTTAATGGATACATGTATATGAAATAAAATTTTGTACTTGTGATATATCACTATCCAAACCTCCAAAATTTATTTATATATACTTTAAACTTTAAACGTCATCTCTTTTACAGAAAGAAATGTCAGAATAGGATTACATTACATAACAGTTCATCATACACAATAGTGTTCCTGAAGACAGTATCAAAATTCTGACCCCTTTCCCCCACTCCCCTTTTTCAGTTTCAGTATATTTTTAATGGAAAAAGACCAATTTGGGGAGATACAAATTTGAAGCTTCTCACGAAGCATCAAATGAGAAAAAGACTAACATCCAAAAAATTAAAGAAAATGACAGACTTGTCTTTTGCTTATTTTTAAGGTTACACAGTGTGGGCACACAACCTCATTGCCATTGCTCGTCTTCGTGGCTCTGATCTAAAAGTGCTTGAAGTCACTGAAGAAAGCATTGATTTCGACCAAGGTGAACTAGCCGACCAGGATGTGGATCCAGTGCATAACCTTATCGAGCAGGTATCCCTGGGCCTGGGTCAACCTTGGCATGCTGTCATGGACATTGAATCACTCAGCGTCTTCACTGAACCAAATCGCCATTTTTACAGAGAGATGCAACGCTTCAGCGAAGACATTTAGCTTTTTTTAAATGTACAATTCCTGTGGTTACATATGCAAGTAGGGTCCTATTATGTTTTTTTTTCAGTAGTGTGAATTAATCCCTTTGTGCTGTGTTTAATCAGTATTAGCTTTATAGAATTATATATGTATATTCTACTTCTTGATCAAAGAACGTAGTCGGGTATTGGTTTAGAAGTTCAAAGTGACAATGTATAGGGCTTTCACGGTTAATGGAATTGTTACCAAACCTTAAGGACATACAATCAAAGATTGTCTGAGGTTGCTGGCTAACTTTGTTTTTCACTGAGTTACTCTGCCTTTTGGACATTTTTATTCTTTGTGTGTCAGAGTTCAGAACTCAGGAGCCAAAATATTTTTATACTATATATATATATATATATCCACAGCCTGATGGATTTGTATGCAATGCACTGCATCTAGGTATTCCAATAGCATTTCATTAATTCTGATTTGAAATGGAATAAGGGAAGATAATATAATCCCAAATGAGTTATCTTTAACAGAAAGCCAAGAGTTTAACTTCCATTACCTACATTAGAATTGATAACACCATTTACCATTCTGAATTTCATATAGTACTAGGTTAGAACATTGCTTAATCCTTTTTTAAAAAATGCATTTACATAAACATGAATACTTAAATGGCCAGATTTTTTTAGACTGTATCTGATATAATTTTACTCAACAATTACATTATACATTCAAGTTAGCTTTTTAGCCCAGATTTCAAATAGTAGAGGAAGAAAGAAACTGTATTCCAGTGTAAAACCTCCTAAATAAGATCAAAATAGAATTGTAAACAAACATGTTTGCAAACAGACATTAGTCGTGAAATCCCTAGCAACAAGTCACTGGATTTTTCTCTGTCAGCACGCGTGTCAGCTGCCAAAGAATAGACTTAAATGAAGAAGTGCCCACATGCTGGCAGGGGCCGGCCCACTGTGGTCAGCCAGATACTGCTAGATTGTAATATTTAAGGTCGAATTTCGACCTGTGGTACACAGCTGTGCTGTGGCTCAGTCAGCAACCTCAGAACTCTGAAAAAAAAACAAAACAAAACAAAAAAAAAAAAAAGAAAAAAAACCATGCACCTGTTTCACTGTGAATAGTGAATGTAAAGAAAAGAAAGGAAAAACTGAAAGCTTGTTCTATCACAGGTATGAGCTGCTATGATACATGAAGAACATTCCATGAAGTATGTTTTAAAACCTTGTTATATCTGAGAGGCTTTAAAAGCCAATTTAACTGTTCAGGGCAACCGCGGTACAGACGTGGTCTCTGTGAGACTTCCACCTGACCCCAGTTTTAAGTGGTACGAATGTTGTGCATTTAATGTTAAAGGACAGTCTGCAATAATAAAGTAAGTAGCCAACGTGGGTGCCCAGCAGTGCTGAGACCTGGCTGCTCTATTGTAAGCTTTGGAAACACAATTTATGCAACAGATGTCCAGATATGATTCTATTTATGGAAAAAGTTTATATGTTTTACAAATGGTTTTACCATCTTATATTAAATGACCTTTTGACAGGTGTGCACTGTTTTGTCTCCAGTGAGCACATACCATGCGGATTTTATATGTACATCAGTAGTGTGAATCCACTGGCACAGTATGTGTAAATGCCAGATGTGGTGAGATTTTATCTTGTATATGTGATCAGATAAAATAACTCCTGACAGAAACTGTAAGGAAACCAGCTGAATGTTTGACCTGATGACTGATGTTGTATGGTTTATGTTAAATGTATATTCTTTTAATCAATGAATAAAGCATTAAAAAGTGATCATTGTAATATATTTTATTGTATATAAAGCATGAAAACTTTCAGTGTTAAATAATCTGCATTAATCCTTATAGTGTATATAATCATGTTAGCTGCTTTTGTATTCTGGTGCAAAAAAAAGCTTAAATTTGAGAATGTCATAAAAAGTCATAATCTGGAAATATAGCATATAAAGTCTTAGTCTGAGTAGAGGATTTTAATTTTTAAAGAAATTTACTTTGACCAAAAAAAAGCAAAAAAACTAGACTGGTTAGCACAAAGTCATACTGAATTATGTACTCACATTATTGATATGGTAAAACTTAATTTATAGACTATAGGAGCTTATTTTTTAAAGTTCTTACACTATATGCAAAAATATTTAGAATTGCCAGCATTAAATATTTCATAAACCCCTTTATCGGTATGATGTTGTGATCTCTATTCTTGAGAAAAACAGCTCTCATTTATGGGGGAAAAAATGGCTTCTTTTCCTTCTTCCATCTTTCCTTCTTTAATCATTTCAGACTTTTGACTCTTTTAGGAACTGCCTCATCTCTGAATAATCTGTTATTTAAAAAGAATTGTTCTGAAGAGGCTAGGAAACAACGAAGCTGCATTCCAGGTATGCCTCCAAGGGTGGTTTGGCAGTTTGCTCATGGTCCTCACATAAACCATGTTAAACACACTAGCTGGAATTCTCAAACTAACCATAGATGCCTATCTAACCCCAATCTGAGAACTTCCAGCACCTCTACCAAAAGCAGCCTCTCCTTGGGACACACAAACACTGGAGACCACACACAATGCCAGGCTCACACCTACATGCCTTTGCAAGGGCTACCTCCTTAAGCAACCATTTCTGACCTTCCCTGGTCCCTTCCTGCATTTTCACAGCACTTCATTTCTAACTGTCCCTCCATGAATAGAACTTTCAAATGACAAGTGGTTGGTACATTTCACTGTCAATGTCTGATGTATAATGAAAGGGGAAAAAAGGAATTGTCCTTAGACCTATCAAACTTTATTACTTAGACACACCCCTAACTCGAAATGTGCCCAAGATATTCATAAAAAGAAAGTCTTATTAATAAATACGAATATCAATCAAGTGAAAGTTGATGTGGTAAAGCTCTAATTGGAAGGCTTAGTACCTTTTTCTGATCCGAGCTCTGGCTCTAACGCTGCCTGACCTCAGACTCCTCTTTGAGCTTAAGTTTTCTCACCTTAGAAATAAAGATTGGACTTGATTATCTAAAACCAATTCTTGGGGGGCTGGGGATATAGCTCAATTGGTAGAGTGCTTGCCTCTCATGCACAAGGCCCTGGGTTTAATCCCCAGCACCATACAAAAAATAAATAAATAAAACCAATTCTTCACTGAAATTCTCAACTCTTGTTAGTCTGATAGCTCACAGACATACTCACAAATGTACTGAAGAGTTTCAACATAGTTTACTAAACTATATGAAACACATGTATCTAAAATTACTGTCCTATTTTCCCACCCCACTGGGGATAAAGAAGCTGGGATGAGACTTAGGAAGAATAGTGTGCTTTCACAGTTGAACACAAGAATGCAGAAACTAGCCTACTGGGGCTTATAACATGAATCCAAATGGATCTTTTTGAAACCAATACCATAATGCAGTGCTTGTAGGGTAACACAAGCTGGTGTGAATAATGCACAAGCACCACACCACATTGTCTAAATCAGTGCTTCCCAACCATTTCCATGTCCTGGCATAAGAGAATTTTCTATAGGTGCATTATCATTATACATAATAGTGAGATTCATTATACCATATTTGTGCATGCACATAACAGTTTGATCAATCTCATTCCCAGGTACCTTCCCTTTCCCTCGCCTCCTTTCCAATCCACTTGCTCTATCCTACTGATCTCCCTTCTATCATTATTTTGATTAGTGCATTGTAATTATGTGTATGTGTTCGTGATTGTGGAATATTGAAACATGGACACAGCATATTCACCAGTACTGCCCCTTGCCCTCCCCTCTTCCCTCTCCATCTCCCTCCTTTACTCTGTCTCCTTCTATATTCATGAGATTCCCATTCCAAAATGTATAACAGTTGAATTTAAGACATTTTGATTACACATAATAGCAAGATTCATTATGCCACATGTGAATTTAAGAAATTTAGCAGTCATTCTTTCTTTGGTAGAGATAACATTCAGATTTCTTGCAAATTAGTTTCAAATTTAAGTGGATTTTTTCATTACAAGTATTTCAAAACAATAATGAAGCTGTAATTTGTGATTTCCAAACATAGCCCTACTATTACTTGAGACACCACTGAGAGCACACCTTAGTTATCATTACACAAGTATCTGATATGAACACTGCTCAGCTCCCACAAACCCAAACCAGCTACACCTGGGGAATATTACATACTCAGGCTTCCTGCATGACCTTTGGACACCTGATTCATATACTCCCAGCTTCCTAGACCCTTGTCCACAAAGCACAGTGCAACACTCTTATCTGGTTCAAGGAGTCATGAGTGTCTGAGTTTGCTCTACCCAAGGCATAGACCTTTCCTCTTGATTCTCAACAGACTGAAAGTATCAGCAGGCTCTCAGCCACCCCAGGACTCATTAGGTAGCCGTGAGGGCCATCACTTTGGTATTTGGTAGTCTACTAATTGGGGTTGTTGGCTGTGGGATGAAAATGGAAGATGTATCATGAATAAGTTTTCAAGACAAAATTAAATCATTCTTTCTGAAAGATTTTTTAAAACAGGGCAAGGACACCATGTATTGGCAAGGAAAAGGAAAACATTTGGAACTTGAATTGGAATACCCATCTATTAAAAAGCAATTAGCTCTTGATCACTTGGAAATTTTACGTCATTCATTTTATTCCTTGACCTCATATAATGTCGGTTAACAGTTTATTGCCTTTTAGCCCTGAATGCATCCTTCAGTAAATGCTAGTATCAGAATTCTTTTTAGTGTTCTAAAGTGAGCACAAAGTTAATTTCTCAGTAAGGACACTCAGGGGACATAGCCGAAGGAAGAGGCTCTCTGTTGGCTCTAGAGCAGGTCAGGGTAGGTGTGGGTTTGAAGACATCTAGTGAGAATTACCCCAAACAGGGTTCAGATGAAGTTCCTTTATGAAACTTGCAGCTTGACTTTCCTTCAGCCTTTCCACCCAGAAACAAGAGACACTTCATGTGCCACAGTTTTAAAGGTGTCCCCCATCAGTCCCTGGTGCTCCCAGTGCAGGTCCCTACCACTTTTTGCTGTTAGTACACTTCCCCATCTGCGCTCCGGACCTTGCCTGTTGCATACAAAGCAATTCCAGACTATCTCAGGCCTTGCAGAACTATCCCTGGGCTTGAACCCTGGAGTTTGTCTTTCTTTGGGTATCCTTCCTCATTCCTAGCGTGCCAAATTAGTGACCTTATAATTTATAACATAGTTAAGAATTCTTTATATTAAATTTCCTTTTAAAATGTGTGGTTTCTCATTCAAGCAGGACTGCTACATGTATCCTTTCCAACTATCCCACAGCATTTTATCCTACTATTAGTTTTGGGCATGGTGGTACAACACCTGTAATCCCAGCTACTCTGGAGGATGAGGCAAGAGGGTCACAAATTCATGGCTAGCCTGGGCAACTCAGTAAGACCCATCTTAAAAAAAAAAAATTTAAGTAATATACTTTTGTTAGAGAGTTTTTTCATTGATTATATGTTTTCTACAAATTTTGCATATAAATTGAAAATATTTATGTCAGGTTTTCATCTCTGTGTCCCCAAAACTGACAAACAACCTACCAGAGAAAAAGTTTATATGGGACTCACAGTTTCAGAAGTTCAGTCCATGGTCCACTGACTCCATCACTCTGGCCTAGAGGTGAGGCAAAGCATCAGGGCGAAAGGGCTTGGTGGAGGAAAGCTGCTTCATTCATGGAGGCCGGGAAGCAGAGAGAGAGCAGGAGGAACCAGGGATAATAAATATAATCCCCAAGGTATGCCCCCCCAATGACCCACTTTATCAAACCATTAATCCATCAAATGGGTTAATCCATTTGTTGGAGCTCAAAATTGCTTCCTTGCCAAGGCTTCCAACAGGCTATTTTACTTTATAACCAAGGCCATGAATCAGCTGTATGGTCATTGAGTTGTCAGGTCAGAAACACTCTGATTCAGCATATGTACTAAAGGTAATAAACACCTGCTTGTGAGCATATGCCCACTTATGTAACCTGTTGGCAGTGTGCCTTCTTTGGCCTGCATATAAAAAGGACCTATGAAAATGGCTCATTGGGGGGGGGGGGGATGGAACTGGCTAGATGCTAAACCTGAAGCTGGAGGCTGTTGCCATCTTTGAATAAAGCATGTCTACTGTTCCTGTGTCTTGCATCTTCTTCTACCTGCTGAGCTCCAACCTTGCTTCCTGGGTCTGAGCCCCAGCACCACACAACTGATTAGATCACGGCTTTCCTAATCTAATCATTTCACCTCCTGCATTAACACAGGAGCTTGTGGGAGGACACCTCATATCCAAACTATAACAACATGTAATTTTAAAATTTACATCCATAAAACTGTTCAATTTTGTCCTATAGTTTTTACATATATTAAACATAAAATTTATCAAAAATATAAATTTAGGTTGGCTATCAAATTGTTAGAACCTATTTTTTTTTCAGTACTGAGGATTGAACCCACTGGTCCTTTGCCACTCTGCTACTCTCAGACCTTTTTATTCATTCATTCATTCAGTCAGTCATTTATTTATTGCAGATAGACACAATACCTTCACTTTATCTTTACGTGGGTGGTGCTGAGGATCAAACCCAGTGCCTTCCACATACAAGGCAAGCACTCTACCACTGATCCACAACCCCAGCCCCCCTTTTATTTTTGAAATAGAGTCTCACTAAGTTGCCCAGGCTGGCCTTGAATTTGCTATCCTCCTTCCTCAGCCTCCCAAGTAGCTGGGATTATAGGTGTTAGAACTAAATTTAAGTGTTAATTTTTTTTTCACATAAACAAGTAAATAAAAAAATATTGTGATAGCAATGGCACTCCTTTGAACTTCTGACCATATGACAGGGGGAAAGGTAAAACTCATCTACCATTAAAATTATTTTAGATAAGCCAACTGGTTAAAAGAAATCAGAGAATCAATTATTCACTTTTTGACCACTGACCCCAATAATTTTAAATTATCTCTTTGGGGCTCCAGAAATTTATACACCTTAGTATTATGCACTGCAGTTAATCTGGAACTGGGTGAGAGGTAGAGTTCCTTTTGAAATGTGGGGGTTGGGTGATTAGGAAAAGATACCTACACCTTCAAAAATTTATCCCTAGGCAGAACAACTATGGAAAGAATATGGGAGGTGAAATTAAAGTCTCTGCTCTGAGGGAATACTCCCCAGTTT